TACATTTAGGACTTTAGTACATTTAGGACAGTCGCTACATAAAGGCCTCACACACAGGCCTAACTTTACCATGAGACGCTTCAGCCAATCAATCCAGATGTTAAAACATCTCAATGTGGATGTCTACTATAACAACAATGCATTGGCAGAGACAAACGATTGCATTGGATTGTATTAAGGACTTTCATACATTCAGGCCTTCCACTGTTGTAGCTGGCCTGTGAAAGGACCCCGTATAAGCGAACACCAGCTAAATTTCCGATTTTGTCATATTGTATTGGCCAGCCAATGTAAAATTGATAATCCAGACATGAGATAAAAAAAAAGGCCCGTAGTTTTAACAACATCGCTTTTATTTCTCTTAAGATCTTTTACAAATGCCACGTACGCTGTGTACATTTCCGTTTACGGCCCCCTCTTTCAACATCCACATTTATTACTAAAACAGAGCCCTTTGAGACCCAAAGCCAGTAGAAATGGGGCATTCCAAGAGGTTTTTATCATAGAGTTTAGATTACATAGGGAAACTGTACAGTTTTAATACCATGTCCACTTCAGGCAGGTAACTGTAATTAACATTACACAGCATAAAGGTCGGCACACACGAGGGGACTGGTACATAGCAGGGTCTGGTTTCAGGAACTAGTCCACTGCAGGATATACACGAGTGTGTGTTATAAGTATTATAAAGTGTGTTAAACACAAACTACAAGAAGCGAAACGCACCGACTTTGTCTCAAGCCGTGTCTGCAATTATGTTTCTTTTTTAGCAGTTTGCCACTACAGAGCCAGCATAAGAAGGAAGAATTGAATATGAAAGCGATCTTCGCGGAGATGAACACTACTTAAGCAGACTAAAAACAAGGCCTGTACGGGATTTGAACCCATGACCTCTCCAGCTTCTTTAACAAGTTATTATCACCGCGTGTTTTTTTGGATACTTTTTTTCATTTTACATCTGGGCATACAATGATGTTGTCATCAAAACTAGATATATCTACACGACGTCTGCATTTTTTTTTATGAAGGTTTTTATTTTTAGAACCTTGTTGTGTTTTTAGAACCTTGTCGTCAGCAAGAAAACTTGAGCTCCTCCCAAAAGCGACATCTGCGCATCTGGAAGGCTTTTTTAAGGGTTGTTAACATGAAGGCAGGGAACCCTGGTGGGTGATCATGAGGTAACCCGCCCGTCCGTATAATCTCTTATTTCATCTAGATCACATTAACATGATAGGTGGGTAGCCTGCTCAAGCGGGTTGCCCATTCCGCAGGGAAGGGCAACCCTGTCAGTCGGGGTCGCAAATTGCCGTGTAAACGTTTCAAGGTGGGGTAACCCGTCTGGCCAGCGTCGCACTCATGTTACATTTGCAAGCGAACTAACAACCTCACCCATAGATCCCGGGGTTGTAAGATTGTGTGTAAATTAAACGCAAGCTATTTTTCGACCAAGACTAGGCGGGTTATTACCTCATGCACCTACCTGGGGTTACCCACCTCCATGTTAACAGGCCCTTAGGTCCTTTTTGCGCATCACTGTATCATCTCGCTCTTATAAAACTTGAGCTCAATTTCATCATTAGGTATAAAAAATCACAATTTACACAAACCAATCAGCACCTTGTTTAGTCATATCAGACAATGCGAAAAGCCAATATTGAAGTTTCTCTCAAATAACTTAATTCCCAAGAAACTCTCGTGAAATCTCACAAAACTGAAGATCATGAAAGCGGTAGTTACTTGTGGTCAGATAGTCAAGTATATAGTACTGTTGATGCATGTTCTTCGATATGATCCGTCATGTCCGTCGACTCAACCTTGAAAATCACGACAGCAGAATGCTCTACTGAAAGAAGCGTAGAAAAAAAGCACTGCACGTCAGCAAGGTTCGGTAATAGAACCCAAGCCGTAGCGGTGAGAGGTGAGCCAATGTTCAGAAAATGAGCCCGCGCTCCACGAACAGCAGAAGTCAAGCCTACATACGAACATGCGACATTCAAGCGAACGGAGAAAAGCGCCAGGCGAGCACGAAGCGCAAGTCAGGCGCAAGGGGAGGAGTTCGAAAAAAAAAAAAAAAAAAAAGAATAATTAATATTTTTTTGCACTCCTCCCCTCGTGCGTAACTCTTACTTCGCGGTCGCCTCGCGCTTGCCTCCGTTTGACTGAACACCTGTTCTGTAGGCCTCGAATGAAACACCTCGCTGATCCTGAATTACTGATTAAATTGACACTCAAAAGATGTTTCCCTTGCGCGGCACTATCTTTAGTCTTATCTCATGTGCTTAAAGTTCACTTTATCAAAAACAAAATCGTGGGGCAGATGTCTGGACCTTGGATCTGAGTTATGCAATCATAAACGATCTCGCACTCGCACCTCAATAAAAGTAAACTTAACATCAATAATTTTGGTTTTATGTTGTCAAAATCAAGAGTCTTACTGTGTTAACAGCGTCAGCCTTAAGTGTAATCTACTGATACATGACTGCGGGAGTTTATCAAAACGCGATGCCATTAAAGAGCAAATCTATAGTTGTCGCTCTGAATAAATTTGCTGACTGAAGATAATGATAAATTATCTGAACTGTCTGGTCCGGCCTTCACCTCATGTCTAAAGATTAGGAAAAGTTGTAATTCATTAGTCGGCATACTCGCTGATTATACTCTCAGATCGGAGCAGGACTTGTTTGGCGAGCCAGAATTGATAAAGGAAAGTAGTGATTCGCAAATGCAGTTTGTAGTTCTGTTATTGTCACGTGCCTTTGACGTGCCGAATTCTATCTTCAGTAGGTTCTTAAACCGGCTGACTTCATGATTCTGCCGCCGGTAGGTGCTAGCAGAAGGTCTTGGTCGGACTCAAGAATTAAAACTCCTCGTTTGGGACACAGACTTGGAGACGTCACGCGTTACCAACGACCGCGCAAAAGTTCTGTCGCGATCCCAGGAAAGTGCGTTGAAAGAATCAAGATAAACGTGAGTGGAAAGAAGTATGAATTGACATACAGTCGGTTGTTTAGGTTCCCTAAGAGTCTGCTTGCCCGCTCTGCCCGAAGAGAGGAATTCTACGACGCCGAAAGGGACGAGTATTTCTTCGACAGGAATCGAATGGCGTTTGAAAGCGTCTATCATTTTTACCAAACTGCTGGAGAGTTTTTCCGTCCTGAACATATTCCGGACGACCTACTTATGAAGGAATTGCAGTTTTTTGGTCTATTACAATATCTTTCGCTGCCGGGAAATGTTTCACTGTCTGTAGGCCCCTCTAAGGTAATTCTTCCAGCCAACAAGTATCAAAGAATGGTTTGGGAATTCTTTGAAAATCCAAGCTCTAGCATTACTGCCCGACTTATCAACGTGTTTATGCTTCTGGTGATTATTTTGTCTATCATCTTGTTGTGCATTGAAACTCTCCCTGACTTTGATGAAGCAAATGGCGGTGTTTCAGCACACATTCGGAAACAAACAAATGGAAAAAAACCGACCAATATTACAGGAGACATTCCTACGGTGATACATGAAAATCAAAGTTTATCAAATAAACTTCGGACTTTGTTTGTCATCGAGACATTTTGCGTTGCCTGTTTTTCATTAGAGCTGATAATCCGCTTCCTAGCCTCCGCTGAAAAACGGCGTTTCTTCTGGAATCTTCTCAACCTTTTCGACCTCCTCTCAGTTTTACCTTTCTACCTCTCTCTCGTTATGTCTTGGCATTCTGTTAGCGCAACACAATCCGCGTATACTCTGAGGGTTTTGCGTCTCGTGCGTCTCTTGAGACTCGCGAAAATATATCGCTACAGTTCCTCCGTGCAGATCTTTGTTAAAACAATTAGAGAATGTGTCAAGGATTTCCTGTTGCTCTACTTTCTCATTCTGATGACTACGACTGTGTTTGCCAGCACCTGTTACTATTTCGAGCAAGAACATGAAGGGACTGATTTTGTGAGCATTCCCGCGGCGTTTTGGTGGGCCATAATAACACTGACCAGTGTGGGATATGGAGATATGGTCCCGGTAACTCTTGGTAGGTTTAAATAAGTTAAGTAGCTAGGTACGTCTTTGCTACGTTGTACAAATTTGAGGTTTATGATACTCTAGCTCGTATCTCTCTCTATTAATACATGGATGCTCCTTATGCATGTACTCTATCTGTCTCCTTTATTTTCACCAACGACGAGCCCCTGATACAAAATAGATAACAGCAGGAGAACATCGCTAACAGCCGTAACGCTTTCACCACTGAGGATGACTAGTATCGAATTTCTCCTCACAATATCACCCCTGAATCACACATTAAGGTCACGAGAATTAAGAATATGGTCCGGCACCAGCTCAGAAAAACTCTTGATTATTAAACAAATTCTCCTTGTCAGCACCTTGTCTATTACTCAAAGGGAGATAATCTCTATCGATCTAAAATAGAATTAAAATCATCATCTTCATTTTCTTTCATTCCTCTCCTTCAGACAGACGAATTTCTAACCAAATTTACCCTGAATTATTTTTTGAAACTTTTATTTCAGCTGGCAAAATAAATAGTGCCTTGTGTGTGGTATTTGGAGTGATCATCATTACCCCTCTGTTGCCAATCATTGGCTCCAAGTTCAACAGTGTCCAAGAAAAAGTCAAAATCGAGAAACTTTTGACCTCAGAAAAGCTTCAGATCTCAGATGATGATTCTTCCGACTCTTTCGAAGACTGGAGAAGGACCGTGACGTTTGCCGAGGAAGACTTTTCGTTTGAGATTCCACCTACCACAAAGAACTCATCATTTGAAAGTCAGATAGAGTTCAGTGTGCGACCGAAGAGTGTACAACCGAGGAGTGTCACTGTAATTTAACACTTTCACTCCCGAGATCAAACTTTCAATTCTCCGCACTGTCTTTCATATATTTCGTATTATGATAGCTCTGAGAATTTGGTGTTAGATCGAACAATATCCCCCCGATATTTTTCTATCCTCCTGTCACCTTTCTGATTGAAAATATGTGAATATCTCGATGAGGAGAAATAAATGCCATTTCGGTCAGTAATAGGAATAAAGGGAAAGTACATCTAAAGCACTTTCGTTGCATTTTGAAAAACGCAACTGGAATTTTTTAAGTTTGTCATTTCTATTTAATCCTGTCAATCTTTTCTATCCAAAGCAATCATTGTTCCTAGGTGATTAATTGTCGCCTCTTTTTTTGTTTTTTTTTTGTTCCGGCCAAACTTATGTTTTGTAATGGGGCACATCATTGATAATAGATAAAGATAATTCAAGCCAGGAGACCAATCCCAGCGGAATACTGAGGGTGGTCTGTGGTGGTCTTATTGCACCCTATCAAAACTGCTGATCACGCATGATATCCCTCTAATTTTCAAAGTCCATTACAAGTCTCTCAGATTTTGCATCATACGCTTCAAGCTTTGCCTAACAATTGTTCTATTAGTGACCATAGCAGCTAATATAAATTGACTTAAACAGTGACGGTTACCCCTTTGGCAGGCTCGATTTCCGCAGCTCTCTCGTGTCCGGTCTTCACTCCTCCTCGAGAAGAGTTCGGGGGAGAGGGGAGAATGGGCTCATATTCCCTTAGAGCGGCTAGTAATCGAGCCTACCCCTTCTGTGGAGTAACAATTTTGAATAAGATTTCATCATTTCCTGTCGTTTCTTTTCCATTCTCTCGCACACAATTTTTCACTCATTACTTTCTCAGTAGCTAAGGCGACAAAGAACGAAAACGATAAGTGATCATTTTCTATGTTTCATAGACTTCTGCACCCAAATAGTCAAAAGTTTTTCCAGTTCACGAAGTTTTAAGGCCAAGAAATACTATTTTAAACTTTTAGCGACTATCTAAGACGAATTGCGTCAAAAATTCATGAAAATATCTGGTTTATACTCATAGGACCTCCATTTTCCCTTTAAACGAAGGACGACACGGGATTGCAGGCTTTTGTGACATGAAATCGGTTACTCAACATTGCACGGGGTGGGTAGGGGTAAAACTCACGAATATCAAAGGAAGCCCGTTTTGAAAAACGCGCCCGGAAGATGGAATTAGCCTTCAAATTTAATTTTGCTCAAGACCACTAGATCTTTGTGGTGAACTGACGAAAGCGATGATCGGAGAACGAAGTTTGAGTACGAAAAAAATGAGATTCGAGTTACATGGCTGCTCACTTGCACTTTTGTTACGAAAAGAAAAAAAAGAAAAAGAAAAAGGAAGAAAACAAGCGCGTTTTTCACGGCGAGACAATATCCAGGAGAGAAAAGTAAAACATTTTTACTGGGGAAATTGTCATAGACTTTTTGCTGGCTCTTAACTATCGGGCTGCAGTAGAAATTCTTCATGTTACAAAAGTTGCCTGACACTGTTTCAAGATGTTTGCACCAATTTGAGTTCCCTTCCTTGGTTGCAAAAGTGAGAGTGCCAATGGCTATCTCTTCCTTTTTTGGAAGATTAAAGATATCAAGCAAAACTTAGAACACACACTTTGCGTAGAGGCGCATTACTCTTTAATAAAGTTTGAAATTTGAAAATCGATTGACAAGTTAATTTTTGTAGTAAATGAAAAAAAAAATATGAATATAAATGTTTGTCTGATAAAAGCCAAACTGTATTAAAATTAAACCACAAAAAAACTCAGTTATTTCATCAAAAATGTTCCCCTTTAAGTTTGCCCAAAATAAAACGTATAAATGTGCACCATAAAAGCTTAAGTTACGCCTCTCGCCAGTGGTATCATCACTGGTAGTTTAGATTATTTGGAGTTTATTTCTTGGTGACGAAGTCTGGATCGTCCGACTCTCCTGCGAAATTCAATCCTAGCTTATCCACCAAAGCGTCTTGCAGATTCCCGTCCTGTTAAAGAAAATTGTTGGCAGGAATTGTAAAACCTTGGATACATGGAAATTTCATGCTAAATTGTTTTTAGTATAGCACTGGCAAGTTAGTTAGTGCCTGTGGCTGGAATTTTTAACTCTCAAGATTTGATTTTAAATTTTAACTTGTCGCGGCTTCAAATTGATCTGTAAATTAGATACTGTGATGTTATTATAAGAAGAAAAACCGACTCCAACTGATCAATTTTTTATATTGTAGAGAGATGAGATGCCAACCACGTCTGAGGGTTGAATTAAGGATTAATTTTCATTCTGTATATTCATCTTGGCGGTTTTGTAAGACAATGCATATGTCGGTCCCCGTCTTATTAAAATGAAGTGTACGTTCATATAATTTCTTCCGTATTTTTTTCATATTGGAAACTTTGACACACTAAAGGATTTTTTGGTAAGAGCGACACGATTGAAGAGAAAAATTCATTCCGCACTTACTTCCTTTCTTTTCGTATTCTGGTTTTCCTTTTTGTCTGTCAGCTCCGGCATGCCGCTGCTTGCTTCCTCAATTCCTGGTTTTTTTATTTCACCGATCTATAAAGCCAATTTTTTTCACATTCGTTATTACCTATATTTTTACGTAAACAGAAGATTGTTGAGCATGAACTGTAAGGTATGGGGGTAAATCGTCGATCAAGATTTAAAAAAAAAAAAATATTTTTCAGAGTTATATTCATGGATGTCCCTATTCGTGATAGAAGAATTCAAGGTTGTTATCACGTGATATCCCCGTTAATCAATCCAGTAGATGAACGTGGACATTTTACCGTCGATGACGTAACAGATGTCCCAAGCAAGTTAAAACTCGTTATGTCC